GACACTCTCCTCTCTCTCAGGTGTTTATCCGTGATCGCTTTTGATGTCTAAGCGGTAGTTGGCCTTTTTTGTTTCCCACCCGCAGATATGCTTATTCCAGACCGGTAATACTGAGAGGCCTGTCCGATAACACAGTGAGTACACGATTACTTACAGTATATCTAGCAGACGCCACCTACTGTACATTGTGCCCTTTCCATAAACACTCTGCACAGCAATAAAGGCGGCGCCATGGTGCCGATGTACACGTATTATATAGACATATACAGACATATCAACCTGAGCCAACTCGCTTAAACGAGGAAGATGTGTCGAAAGTCACTTGCTCTTATGAAAATATTAAAAAAAAAAGCAGACGGTCATTCAGAATCCGGTCGTCTTTGTCAAATGAGTCGGGGTGCTCTCACGAGAAGGGTCTGTCCGATGGCGACCGGTGCTCGGGAGGAGGGCAGTCGTGAATGAATACCTGTAGGAAGGCAGCCCCTCTCAGCGGCGCCGTTGCTCCTCGTCCCGCAGAAGTTCCAGTTCCTGTGCTCCAAGAGCAGCCTGCTGCAGCAGTACGGGGACAGGCTGGTGCGCCTCAGCACGGCCAACACCTACTCCTACAGGAAAGGTCAGTGGCGCTCGGGCCCGCCAGCCGCCGCGGCTCATAACTATTCAGTTCAGTAATTGCAGTACTGGGAACCAGGCTCTCGTTATATACTTACCTGTGCTTTTAATGAAACCTATGTTTTCAGTATTCACCTGTTTAAGACCTGTATAAAAATCCTATATACGTCAAAGAAAAATTAGGTTATCAAATTGAATACTAAGATTTGAACAAAAACCATAGGCTTGAGACCCCTGGCCTGTATTTAATTTTCACCTGCCAGCTGCTTGCTAGTTTCCAGCCTTCCCTGTAGCTCCAAATTTATTTTCCCCATCTCTCAGGTTTGCTTGTTGCCACATACTCTGTAAGTTACCTCTGCCTAGACCTGCATCATCGTCCTTGCCCTGTACAGTACGAATTTGTATTGATAAAAAAACGCAGATGGAAGGTGTCGCCGACGAAGCCGTGAGCCCGACGAGTCGATCCGTTTGCAACAAATGACATCTTCACCCCCTCTTCCCTGCAGTGGACGTCTCGTTCCGGGAGTTCCTGACACACTTCCTCCGGCCCCAGTCTCTGGACACTCTGGGAAGCGGTCAGTGTCTCTTCCTTTTTTCTTATCCACACCCCTCCCATGCGTCACGAGTCAGTTCGGGAGGAAATCGCAGGGCCCAATCGGAGTCACCTGTTCCGTTCAAGAGTTGTAGAGGTCACTTATAAAAATATGTAGTCTTTATAACAACATAAATGAAAATCTCTGTTAGTCCCTTGAGAATGGTGCGGTACGTCATTGAGTTGCCCAGGTGTTACAAGAATGTCGGTTGAGACGGGCCTGGATTTTCGTCATTTACAAAGAGTGCAAGCTAAGACGCTCCAAGAAATTCCACGAGTGTATCGCACCCAGGCTGATGCTCTAGCTGTAGATTCCGCTGCAGTTCCTGTGCATGCAGAGGCAGTCTGACACTATCCTTCATTTATCCCGACAGACACGCTGTACTTCTTTGGTGACAACAACTTCACGGAGTGGCAGAGTCTGTTTGCGCACTACCGACCTCCCCCCTATGTTCTCCCTCACACCAGCGGGGCCTACAGCTTCGGGATAGCAGGTGAGTGGAGCCGGCCACAGCAACTACAATTAACAAGAACTACAATTCCCATTAGCCCGCTGGGCAACTTCCTGCTGGCATCTTCCTGATGAGTCCCAGGCTCATGAGACTGTATCAGATGAGCGTCGGTACCTTTTCGAATCTTTGTATACCCCCTTTCCCTCACAAAGCCCGGCATGGAGACCATGTTTGTGGTTTTCAAGCTTTAAAGATGACGAGTGCCACATGCTTATCACTTAACGGCCAGCAGCCATATCACTCTGCAACTCACAACTGGCAGTCCACTGAAGCTCAGCAGGTGTGAGCCTGGTCAGTACCTGGATGGAAGACCTCCTGGGGAAAAACTAAGGTTGCTGCTGGAAGAGGTGTTAGTGGGGCCAGCAGGGGGCACTCACCCTGCTGGCCATGTGGGTCCTAATGCCCCAGTATAGTAACATGTATACATTTAGTGAGACGTAAAACCGAGGTCCTGACTCATTAAAAATCCCAGGGCGTTTCTCGAAAAGGGTAGGGGTGTAACCCTGGTGTCCTGGCCAAATCTCCCATTGGCCCTTATCAACCATTGCCTCCTAATAATCCCCATCTATGAATTGGCTTCATCACTCTGCTCTCCTCCCCACTGAGAGCTGATATGTGGTGAGCGTTCTGGCGCACTATGGCTGCCGTCCCATCATCCAGGTGGGGCTGCACACTGGTGGTGGTGGGGGGTCGTCCTTATTTGTTGTGCGGTGTTCTTGGTGTGTTGTCTGTAAAGCGCTATATAAGTGTAAGCCATTATTATTATGATTGTCCTTGGATTATGTTATGTCATCTGATTTGCTTCCTTTCATGAAGGTTTTGTGCAATCTGTCACCAGCCCACTGTGCTGCCTGTGCTGTGACAATCGTGGTTTAGCTCCTGAAGGAGATGGCCGGCTCTGTGCTAAAGCTTATTTCCCTGTTCCCTGCCTTCTCAGGTCCTGGGACAGGAGTCCCCTTCCACTGGCACGGCCCTGGGTACTCCGAAGTCATCTATGGGAGGAAGGTACTTAGTCCAAAAAACCAAACAAACACTGTTGCGGAAGCAACAGCAAATCTCGAAAAAGTGATCCAGACATGTCAGAAGGAAAACTGGAAAATTAAACCTGATTGAGTCTTACACATCCTGGAGTAAGCAGTTATGGAAAAGGCATTTTTGCTTTTTAACACGTTTTAAAGAGCATTTTCTAGATCCACCACCTGATTCCTTGTATGCGTTCTCTACAGCGGTGGTTCCTGTACCCACCAGAGAAACAGCCCCATTTCCACCCCAATCGGACCACACTGTCCTGGGTAATGGAGTCATATCCAGAGCTGCCCCCAGATGAGAAGCCTGTGGAGTGTACCATCCGTCCAGGGGAGGTCAGTAAGCACTGCAAAATCTCACCTGTGGAACATACCATCCACCTAAGGGAGGTCAGTAAGGACTGAATTGCAAACACTAGAGCCAGCAGCCACTGTTGGTCTGTGCTCATGGAACCCCTAGGGAGTTTTTTCACATCAGTGAATCAAGTTTGAAGTTCTACAAAGTGTACATGTATACTTACTCTTCTGATTAGACTGCAGAGTAGAGGACTAGATTGTAGGATTTTGGATACAAGAAATCTATAGCCTTCACTGCTATGACTCGATCTTAATATTTATTTTTCCTATTTATTACCACCTGGAGCTTCTTGTTTTTAAGTACGGCTGCAGGATTCAAATTAGGGAAACTAAATTCAAAAAGCAGTCCTTCACCAAAATAGCCTGGCTGGTTTTATCCATGTTGTAAGTACCTTGAAGTAATCAACGAGGACTGTGAACTTATTTCAGTTAAATCAAAAGTTTAAAGCAAGTGTTCGAATTGGAATGAAAATCAGTGGAATTTGGAGTCCCTGACTTAGATACAGGGGCTGCACAATACAGGCTTTTTTTCCACGGAAGTACAAAAGCAAAGAAAGTAGGTTAATTCCAATTAGAGTTAAAAATCAAAAGTATTTGAAGCTGGCCTTGATGGACATAAGTCAAAGTACAACTACAGTGCAAGCTGTGTTCCTCTGACCTTTGACTCTTGACCTTTGGCAGGTGCTATACTTCCCTGACCGCTGGTGGCATGCCACCCTCAATCTGGACACTGGCGTCTTCATCTCCACATTCCTGGGATGAGTGCCTGGGATATCACAGTTCCTCCAAGGGAAGGCCAAGTCTCCTCTTCCTCTTGGGTTCTGGGAAAAAGACTTATTTATGGTGTCAGGGAGCAGATTTCCTGACCTGCGGTGGACACTTGAAATTGCAGCGAAGAACTGGACTCTCACTCATGATCTGTTACCAATTACATGATTTCCTTTGGCCGTTCCTTTCAAACAGTGTTATAATACTTACAGTCCAGGGTAAGACTCCTTTTACTGAATTCACGCTCATCGGCTTAAT